ACGACCTTGCGCTTGCCAGGCAGGCGCTTTTGCCGCTGAGCTAAATCCCCAGCCCCAAAAGCCTATTCTTAATTGATAAAGTGTTGAGCACATTAACCCTAGAACTGGACTGGGCAAGTGATGCTTTGCAAAATTTAAAGCTCCTACGTGGGCTTTCTGGAATTTTGAGCAACTTAAAGGAAATACAGGTTCTTAGAGTATTTTGCAAAGTGAAGCCAGGGTTAGCTGCACATAGAATTAATGGTTGATTTCTCTGGCACAGTTGCTTCCATTTCTAATTGCTTAAATTCTAAAATGTTTAGAATCTTTTTAACAAAAAAAGATGATTAGGTCATAATTCTGGGTATTTACTTTAGAGGAAAATATATTCCTTAAGTGTTTCTAGTCATAGGAAGGATTGCTAATAGTATTGTACTTAATAATACTATTAGAAATCTTATAGATGTAAAAGTTATAGCAAACCTTTTGTAAAATTTCACAAATTATAATGCGTACATAATGCCTGAGTGCATATACAAAAGCCCAAATTTAAATCTATGTGTACCTATGCATTATAAGGATAACTATATGTTAATTATTGAAAATGTTCATTCTCTATAAGCTGTGTAATTGTGCATGTTTGTCTAAATGTCTGCACCCACACATGTATATCCACTGTATATCCTTGTACATTACATATGTTCATGTATAGATATGCTCCGTGTTTTGCTAGTTGATGATTGATTAATGCTATGTAGGCAACTTCTACCACAGAGCTTTTGGAGAAGGAAAATTAACTGCTTTTGATGTGAAGAAGGATATCCAAGAGGACTGAAAGACAAAACATCCCCCAGAGAATGAAGGATTGCTCCTTTCAAAGATACAATAAATTATATTGGATATTAAGCTATGTCCTTGTGCTTGCTAGGGAGGAGGATAAACTTCAGACAGATTTATATGTTTAAGGGCCTTCACAGAAGCACTATAGGGATATTAAGGATTGGATTTCTTTTGGAAGCAAGACCCATAGGTCTTTATAGTTTAGTGAATCAGAGTAGCCCTTCTGGGGTCAGAAAGTCTCTATGGTCTATTAATAGGGAGTAAGGACTGGCTATAAAAGAATCCAAGGACTGGGTGTTGGCATCACTAGCCAGAGAAGTAAACCAAATGCTGTTTGTGGTTTTTTGTTTGTTTGTTTGTTTGTTTAAGGCAGGGTTTCACTGTGTAATTCAGGCTGGCCTTGAGTATCAGATTAATAATATCCCTTAGTTACTGCAGGCTGATCAGGTCCGCGGTCTCCCAAATGAGTGTATGGTGAAGGCTAAATAAAAAGAGGCAAACTCAGTGATTTCAGGGCTCCAGGAGGATCAAAACCCTCTCACAGAATTCGAGATTCTCTCAGGGCTAAGACCAAGACCTTCTCTGGATGGCCTGTATTTATTTAGTTATCAGAAGAAGGGAGGGGAGTACTCAAGAAGGGCAGAACCACTCAAGGATTTCTCCAAATAAGGTATTAAGTTAATCCACCCAGGAGTGAGATGCCTGAGGCTACAGTCTTCACCTAGTTGAGGTTGGATACAATGTCTTTGGCTGTGATCATCTTATCCTTTGAGGCTTTCCAGCTTCATCCACCATTACAAGCTTTAGTAGGGATAAGTGACTCACAGAGGTTCACTTACTATGAGTCTGCTGCCCATCTCCAGACAGGGAGCCTAGGCCTTGGACAGACTCGTAAGTAAACATAAGTAGCCAGTTAGTTAATTTAAGTCCTGCTCAGGGCTGCTTCATAGTGGTCTCCATCACTTGAGCTCAGGCTGGTCTTGAACTTGCTGTGATCCTCTTGCCTCCCAAGTGCTGGAATTATAGGCATGTGCGACCACACCCAGTTGCTTGTTCACATAAGAAGTTAACTAAGCAACTCACCTTGCTTTAACTCAGCTGAGCTATTTTGGTGTTTAGTCAGGGGCTGTAGTGAATAATGAACAGAGCTTTTTCTTTAATCAGTCAATTCTTAGAAATGATGTTTTTTCTAAAATATATATTGAAATGATTTCCAGACATCGTGGAGCTCAAGAGACAAATTCCTTAAATCTGGTAGGAGCTTGTGAATTTGCGTGTCATCCTTGCGCAGGGGCCATGCTAATCTTCTCTGTATCGTTCCAATTTTAGTATATGTGCTGCCGAAGCGAGCACGGAGCTTGTGAATTTGACACTCCAGGATTGTTGTTTTTTTCACTTTCCTAGGAATTTTCTGTTTTTGAGTAACAGAGGGAAATGTTAGGATCAATCCACATTGTTCTCTGTGTGCTTCTGTATTTTTTTCCCGGGGAGTGTTCTTCTGCTTAGAGTACAACAAATCACTCCAAGGTTTTAGAATATAGTCATCAGGCTCCATGTGGATGTCCTCGATGAACAGTAAGTCATCTTGTGATATGAAATGTCCCGTAAGAAGGTTGGCAGTAACTGTGTAGAACCATTGTTTTAGGGCAAAGATGAAGAGGCATTTTCTGTAGGCTTCATTTTTCCCCTGTTTTGGAGGCCAGCTTCAATGTAATTTCTGTGTGGATGCTTCTTCCTGTTTGCCATCTCCCCTTTAACCTCCCTTAGGGAGGTGAGCAAAGCCACCAGAGGGGGTGACAGGACTGCACTGGTGATCATTTTTCACTGTCTTCACTCTCCCACTTGTCCTTTCAAGTAATCGTCGTGTCCTGAGCTCACAAATCCATGAAGTTAAAAGTTGTATTCAGCAAGCTCTGCAGCTGTAGGCTCTGCATTCTGCTTTAAATCAGACTGTTTTAGTGGCCTTAATTGTTCGCTTCGGGCTGTGGGGGCTGTGGCAGCCGGAGCTCTGACCTGCACCTTGGGAGGGTCCATTCAGTAGGTGCGCGTATCTCATATACTGGGGACAGCGCTAGAAGACTACAAGCGATTGGGCAAATTTGGCAAGCGAGCTTACAGTTCACACACAATAATGACAGCAGATTGGGAGCTGTAGATTTTTATGCCCTAGACTTTGAACTTCTTACGACTCTGAGGAGTGTGAGTCCAGGCTAAAACTGTGTTTGTGTTTTTGTAGTACTTATTGGTATGCCCAAAGGTCACCCAGATAGCTCAAGATCTAAATAAAACAATACTTGTTCTTGTTCTGCATTTGTATATTCTTTTGTAGTTTGTGTATTCTTTTGTCGTAATCTTTTGAGTAGATTTAGTTATAAATATTTTCCTCTCGTGGTGCTACAAAAAAATCATCTGTAATCAGATGTATTGAAAAGTCTTAGCATCTAAAACAGGGGGTTTAGGATTTGCTTTTAGCCCTTTTTTTTTTTCCCAAGGGAATTGATACAGGTGGGATGCCCTGATGTGAGCACTGGCAACTATCAGGAGCTCAGCTGAGGGGCTTGTGCGTCACAGTTCACTCACTCTGCGCTTTTCCTCCTGTTCCTCCTTTCTCTTTAGCATCATCTGGGAAAAAGACTCAGATCCTCAGTGTGACTACTTTATCAGCAGTTTTATTGAAATTGATAAGGTTATAGTTAAGTATTTCTCGATCTTTTTAGGCTCCCCAAAAGTTTTTAAATGTTATCTTTTATGAACTATAACTGTCACCCAGGAAATTGTCACATTTCCTTTTTGTGCTTTGTATTATGCAACGATTAAGTATCGTAGTGACTGAAGCAGTCATGACTGAAAGAGGAGACGTGTTGCCAAACTGCCAGGGATTCAGTTGTGGCTGCGCCTTCCTCCCTGTGGCCCT